CTAAATAAAATTATTCAAAAGTAATTTCAATAACTGAGTATGAAAAAGCTATTCTGTGTCCTCCACACCCTGTCCCAAGTTAAATTGTCCAAATGTTGGCATGTGCACCATACCTCTTCGAAAGCATTTCTCACACCTAATTTGTATGCTAATATTGGCCAAAATACTGAACCTTTTTTTTTTGTTTGTTTTGGAATGGTCTATAGATAGTCATTTTTGCCACAGAAGAATTTCAGTGTAACATTGATGTTTATGATTGTAATATATACAAGCAAAAATACCATGTACACAAATAATGAGATCATCTAGAAGCCTTCTCTGAAAGAGTGACAATGTCTGTCATAACACCGAGTTTGCTAAAGCTTAATGTTTTTGAAGAATAATAACTTTCCAAGCAGCTACCAACTTCATCATGTTAGCTCCTGAAAGACATGGGATACCTCTTGATGTTTATGATTGTAATATATACAAGCAAAAATACCATGTACACAAATAATGAGATCATCTAGAAGCCTTCTCTGAAAGAGTGACAATGTCTGTCATAACACCGAGTTTGCTAAAGCTTAATGTTTTTGAAGAATAATAACTTTCCAAGCAGCTACCAACTTCATCATGTTAGCTCCTGAAAGACATGGGATACCTCCAAGTGACTGTAAAGAGAAGCCATATGCTTTGACATGCTGAAATGGCATGAGAGACTAAACAGGAGTAACCTTTCTACTCCATTTCTTGATCAATTTTTTGGGAGGCCCTGTAGGTCTGGTACACACAGTGGCACTGTCCAGATGGAAATTTTCCTTCATGTTAAAGGACAAGTGCAAAGCCAGAGACTCCTCCAAGGAGCTGCCTGACTTGTCTTGAGCTTTAAACTGGTCTCAGTGCACAGTTTTCTTACAAACATGTTTTATCCTGAGAAACAAATATGGATTTAAAGCTTCATGTGGCAAATAGAAAGATCTGTAATGGTACTACACATGGCAAAAATTACCAACTTTATCTAATCCCATCATATCTAAGCAGAGCAAGAACAATTCCTAATCTGAAATAGTGTATAATGTGATGTCCCTGTGGATTTATAAGTTCTTTGTTCAAAGCATGCAATTGGCATAGAGACAGGCTGTCATCAGATATTTTAAAACAATATTTTCCCTGCAATATAGTTCTAATAACATATTAGTTAACACTTAGGCTATGAAGGACAGTTTCCTTTACCTTCTTTTCACAGGGTTTAATATTTGGTTTAGTATGAACCCAAATTTCAGGAAAAGTCAGTAATTCAGTGTCTGAATCGGGAAGCTTGACCATACCTGCCTTTATCTTGGTACTTTTTTAATTTTCCTTGTTAGTTATTTATTCTACTCTGTTCTTTAACTGATCAGTTATTCTTAACAGCAGGAAAGGCATTGTATAAGGCTGGCTGGTAAACTCCCTGAAGAAACAGGTGTCTCTCTCATACTCCCCATGCTCCTTGCTTAATCAACAGGAGGACACTGTTGACCTCTTCCCAGACTACTGCCACAGCAGATGGCAAAAGTCCTGGGTCATACTTCTTATGGTTCTTGTGTTCCCAAGTCATTGATGACATACCCAAGTGAACATACCCAAGTCCCTCCCATTCTACTATCTGTGTCTCAGGGGCCCCTTCTAGAGGCTCCCATGAACCCCAGAACTCCAGGGTGCATGGCAGCAGGGCAGCCCATGGGACAAACTGGTCTCAAAGGCAAATGGGGTGTTTGTGATGCACAACTCACAGGTCATCGACCAGAGAGACTGCTTCAGCATAGCCATTCAGGTCTTTCAGTGAGAACTGTGAAAGATGAACAGACTCCTTTGCATTCAGGTTGAAACGGAAACCCCCTTCTCCTGCCCCTCCTTCCTTTAAGATGATGAACCCCTACCTGAAAGTGTAAGTACCCTCTTCTGCTCAGTGCTGCTGAACATTCCACAGACAGATTGTAAGGTCATTTTCAGGGTTTTTCTCCAGGGGAACATCACCAGCTGCAAACAAGTGTCTCAATGCAGTGATGCTGCAGCAGAATGTTGGCAGCTTAAGGGCCACAGGATGGAGGAGGATTGATGAACAGAAGGAAGCTGTGTTAGCTATTATCAATGGACAAGCAATGTTAGCTTGCATTTCTAGAAATCCATGTTCGTAGCTCAAGTATTTCAGTCAGCTGTATCGTCACTGGACTCAGATAAAGTAAATACATTTGTCTAGACTGATGCAAGATCCTGGGAAAAGGAAACCTGGTCACACCATGGGCTGACAGAGATAAACCTTCCCAGGACCATAAGGCAGAGGAGTTTCTGAGGCTAGTCTTTGTACATGTCACAGAGCTTTGTGGTTGAGAGACTGTTGATTTTCTCTGTCCAAGTTGAGGGACTGCCTGGGAGCTGCTGGTTGAAAGACACCCCACCTGATCTAGGAACATCAAGTCCCCAGCTTCTGGAGGCCAGGAGAATATCTGGGGAAGGGTTTTGCATCTTCTGCTCTTTGCATCTGTAATCAGTGGTCAGAGACAGGCTCTTAGTTTATGATGTTCCAGTACAGTGGTCTCCAAAGTGGGGTGCATGCACACCTGGGGGTGTACTAGATGATGCACTACGGAAGAAAACATTAGAACTTCAGTATTATATCTATATAATTATCAAGACGCCAAGTTAGGCAGAAGTGTTGATCTGCTTGAAGGTGGGAAGGCTCTGCAGAGGGATCTGGACAGGCTGGATAGATGTGCCAAGGCCAATTGTATGACATTTAATAAGGCTAAGTGCTGGGTCCTGCCTTTGTGTCACAACAACCCCATGCAACACCACAACCTTGGGGAAGAACAGTTGGAAAGCTGCCTGGCAGAAAAGAACCTGGGAGTGCTGGTGGACAGCTGGCTGAATATGAGCTGGCAGTGTGCCCAGGTGGCTAAGATGGCCAATAGCATCCTGTCCTGTAGCAGAAATAGTGTGGCCAGCAGGAGTAGGGAAGTGATCATGCTCCTGCACTTGGCACTGGTGAGGATGCCCCTTGAACAGTGTGTTCAGTTTTGGGACTCTCACTACAAGAAGGACATTGAGTTGTGTCCAAAGAAGGGCAATAAAGCTGGTGAAGGGTCTAGACCACAAGTCTTATGAGGAACAGCTAAGGGAACTGCAGCTGTTTAGTATGGAGAATAGGAGGCTGAGGGGAAACTTCATTGCTCTCTACAGTTACCTGGAAGGAAGTTGTAGCCAGATAGATGTCAATCTCTTCTCCCAAGTAAAAAGTGATAGGACAAGAGGAAATGGTCTCAGGTTGTTCCAGGGGAGTTTTAGATTGGATATTAGGAAAAATATCTTCACCAAAACGGTTGTCCAGCATTGGAACAGGCTGCCCAGGGAAGTGGCTGTGTCACCATCCCTGGAGGTATATAAAAGACATGTAGATGTTGTGCATAGGGAAATGGTTTAGAGGTGGATATGGCAGTGCTAGGTTAACAGTTGGACTCGGTGATCTTAAAGGTCTTTTCCAGCCTAAACAGTTCTATGATTCTAAGTTGTTCTACCCATAGTTAACTGCTGCTCTTCTCTGTTGGTAATTTTTCAGCCATATATAAGTCAGAATGGGAGAGTACAAAGTTGATGTAGTGGAAGACAGTGAAATAGTCAGGAGTGACGCATTTATCATTCATAATCTTAGATATGATTCAAGAAACTTTAATAACGACATTATGCTGATCAAGCTGGCAACCACCATGGACTACAGTGCTGGCATTCAACCCACAGCTCTGCCCAGCTTCTGTGCCAAGGAGGGCCCTGAGTTCATCTTTCAAGGTGAGGAAACACACTGAGCAGTGGCTGTGAGTATCAGTGCGTGTTGCATGTACATGGTCACACTCCTCCTGTTCTACCGCCAGGTTCATGAGATCCATGTACATTTCTCTCCTGTTTTGCATTCTTTCCATGGTCTGCCTGCAAGCTCCCCGAACTGTCCTGCCAGTGCACCTCAATCAACAATGCCCTTCGGATTTGCTAATACAGGTCATGCTTTCTTTGCTGGATGGCTTTTGCATATAGGTCTACAGCTCCTTCTGTTCACTGACAGTGCTGTGTCCCAAGATGAAACTTAATTTTCATTGCTGTCATGGCAGCCAGTTTCCCTAAGGTTCTCCAGTGACTGAGAGCTCCAGTTGTGAGAAACCAGAAGTGCCAAAAGGTTTACCCAGGCCAAATCACCAGCAACATAATCTGTGTAGGATTCCTGGATGGGGGAAAAGAGTCATGCCAGGTAAGCACTGATGTCTGCATAGAGCCCTGGGGCACACACCCAAGGGTGCCTCAGGGTGCACAGTATATGTCAGAGTGCTTAGGCCTCCTTGTCTCCAGGTTTTTTCTTCTGACACAGTATCCTGCCAGCAGGTTTTCAATACAGGGTGGACTTTCCCCATATAGCAGGTCCAACTACATATGCTGGGCACTAAGTGCAGTGAATTGTTGAGGGTTAGGGGAGGTGAACAAATAAGCCATGCTATCTTTCTGTGCTCCCATATAAGGACTTGCTGCACTTCACATTCCCTGTATTCTTTGTACCAGGTCAAAACCTTTCCAGGTGAGAACAGCTCATGCTTCTAAATTTTTCTTTCCAGAGTGACTCAGGTGGCCCAGCTGTATGTATAGGAAAACTGCAGGAAACAGAGTGTGCTCTGAAGGGTTATCCCAATGTCTACACCAAGGGGTGCAATTATGTTGATTGAATCGAAGAAACCATTGCAACCTAGTGATATGTTCATGACTGCCTGGCTCTTTGGCCACTACCCTCCTGCCCTATCATTCCTCTTAAGATGATAATAGCAGAAATAAAAGTCTTAGTTAAAAATCCTTACAGATATTTGCTCTGGGGACTGACAAACACCATACACAAGTGGGGTTCCCTGCAGCCTTACACCAGTCCCTCCTGAACCTTTCCTCCTGTTCCAGTTTAGGTGTGTGTGCACTGGAAGTAGTGCCCTAGAACTTCTGGGCTAGCAGGCAAGGTGATACGGCACTATGCAACCATCGAGGAAGTTTCTGAGCCAAGGATATCCATTTTTTTACTCCTGGCCCTCTGAGAAAGGGACAAGAGGGAGAAGAGGGAGGAGGAGGTCCCTACAGCAGTGGAGCAGAGTCCTATTTTGCTCCTGCCAATGGTGAAGTTATTTTCTCACTGGTACTGTGACAATTTTAATGATAATAATTTCAGCTACGGTGGTAGGTCAAAGAGCATTCAGAGACCACAGGCACAGAGCAATCAGGTAGTGGGCAACAGCTGTGATCCAATGATCATCACCTTTCCCCTCCACTTTCTTTGGGGACATCTGAGGCAGGCAAACTGGGTCCACCAGGATCCAGCAGGTAACACAGACTAGCTGCTACAGAAAGGAAAAAAACAAGCAGGTAGGGAAAAGGCCTGTGACCTCATAGCAGTGTAAAGCAGGGAATAAGATCAGCTAAGAAAGGAAGGATGGGGAGGGGAGGGACAGAGCTAGCTGCACATTTATGTTTACCCTGCTGCTAGTCTGTTTTTTCTTAAGTTCTTTTTTTGGGAAGAAGGAAAGTTATGCCTTCTTTTGGAGTGCCTGAGCTCAGGAACTAGGGAAAGGTCCTGGAGAACTGTGGGCCAGAGGCACTGGGGGAATAAGAAAGGTGAAACTGTGGAACTGGAGAGAAAGGTAGGGAACTTATGAGAACAATGATCCCACATGGAGCCAGACTTTGAGATGGGAAACAGACTCTGTCCCAGGAATCTTCAGCAAATGGCTGGACCAGAAAGGAAAGGAAGGGCTCTGCAAGGACATAGCAGATGGAGGAGATCACCTTTTAAAGTATTTATTTATCATCCAGCACATGACCTGTAGAGAGCAGCCAGAAAAACCTCTCCTGAAAGTCTGTACTGGGCAATTTTAACATCTGCAAACCTAGATGATGCCTCTTTGCTGTGAGAATATGGGATGGAGAGTTTGGGAAAGAAAAGGGAGGCCAAAGACTGGAAAAAGCATAAAGGTGGTGAGGTAGAAAGTCAGGTGGTTTGAAAAAGCTGGGGAAGGAGTTTAGAGGTGGGAGCCAGTGAGGCTGGCAGAGTGAAATAGGATGGATGAGGAAAGGGAACTTGCACCAAATAAGCATACACAGCTGGATTAGAAATGGACTGGTTGGGGATGAGAGGTGTGAAAGGAGCAGCACAGATCTAACTGGGCAAGGCATGACAAGCCTGAGGAGGAAGGGTGTCTCTAAGAATTATTTGCAAACAGCTGGCCCTAGAGAAACATTCTGTACCAGTGTAAGCTACTGAAAGGAACTGGCTTGAGAAGCCTTAAATCTGCTAAGACTAAAGAACCCTTTGACGGTAATTGCACAGAGTCACCATTGACCTGGACACAGTCCTAGTCCTGGCCTTAAGTACTAAGCCTACACGTAGCTCTGAAAATTGGCTGCCACTGCCTTCCTTGTGCTGTAACGGTCATTTATCATACAGGACTGGGAAACCAGTCGTTGCTTGATGCTCTGTTTCATGACATTAGTTTCCAAATCGAGCACAAACCTCTGCTAAGCCACAGTTACTGTTTCCAGCTTTTGCTAAACACTCTTCAGTAGGAAGCCTTTCCTCGTTCCTTCGATTCTCTTCTGTTTAGGCAGGATACCTCAGCCCTTTCCTCATTGTCACATCTTTTCTACAGTCCCTTTTTCCCTGAAGGAGGAGATCGCACAGCTTTTCCTGAGGCTCACTGTTACTCTTGTTTGAATCTGGTAGCCTGACAGAGGGGAGGCTGCCACAGCGCCATACCCCCTGACCCAGCAAGGCTGAGAATGTGTTCCTAGTAGACATATGTATATACATGTATACACAGCCAACCACACAGATCAACACAGACAGATGCACCCACCACTCACACAAACAGAAACAACACCACACAGAAAGAAACAGCACCAATGGCCTCACCTTGTGTTCTCTTTGGCTGAACTGGATGACGGTTCAACATTGGGAAATACATGTATACATGCATACCTACAATGTATGTACAGTGTGCATCCTTTACATAGCTATGCTCAGACACTAATTCTGCCCAATATCTGCCCCTGGATCTCGGTCACCACGTTTACCGGCACCTGGACCTATGAACCTGCAAAACATGTAGCCCCACTTCAATTGCTGGTACGTACAAACACATGCATCCTCCCCACATCCCATCTCCAACAGATGTCTGGGACTCCCCTGCTCCCTCTGGTTCCCAATTCACACTGGTCTTGCCATTAGAGACACAGACCTGGAACCCAGGTCACTTCCCGTACTTGCCAGCTAGTCTGGCTTCATGTTCACTTCATGATCACACATGCTTACGTATCCTCCTTTGTCCCAGGTAAGAAACACAAGGCCACTCTTACCTGTGCCTTACTCCACTTCCTGGTGCTAACATTCACTCACTCTCATCTCTCCAGTTGCTGGTACTAGTAGTTTGACTCCAGTTCCTAGCACTTAGACCTCCATATACAAAACAGATGCACATGGAATAGACAGTCCCTCCCTCAGGGAAATACTTAAAAAATCAATTTAATAAGACATGAATACGCTGAGCGAAGCAGGCACAAGGCATAGCCACACAAGCATATTCACCAGCAACCTGTTTACCTGTGACTGGCCCCATTTATAACTTCATTCCTCTATTTTCCTACACCTGTACTTCCCCAAATCCAGTAGTTCAGGGTCTGATTTGGGAAAGTTAAAGATACCTGCCTTCATCTTGGTACTTTTTTGTTTTCCTTTGTTCCTTCTTTAATCTGAAAGGAGAGTGATGAATTAGACGTTTTGAACTTGAAAGCCAAAAAGGCTCTCAATCTAGCTGCACTTCAGAAGGCAGCAGCATGTTATGCAATTGCTGAGAGACACACTAGAGGTTCTGAGTTACATCTTCCATGTAGTTCCTTCTTCTGGAGAGTGGCAATCATTTTGTTTCCTGAGACAGAAAAGTTACTATGAATTAAAAAAAAAAAAAAAAATCTTCATTCTAGAATGAGTAATAAATGCTAGGGCGTGTGATTAAAGGATGTATAGCCCAGCTGCATCAAAATTATTTTGCCTTGTCTCTGAGTTCTTACACAGCATAATATTGGAATTAATTCCCACAGTCTCCATAGTCTGTTTCATTTCCCTTCAAGTGTCCGAAATTGTTTCTCCCTCCAGGACTTGAGGTCTGATTACCACTGGGAGAAAAGGTATTTAACAGCTAGGGCACAACAGACAATAATGAAACTAAAAATCCTGTTGTGTCTCCATTGTAGGGGCTATTTTAGGACATTCATCAAAGCAGCAGTGTCCAAAGGAACTGTCTCAATATATCTCATGGAAGTGTCTCATGGTGTCCCATCTTAACAGTAAGGTGAAGGGCAAAATGTCAATAAATTCAGACAGAGAACAAGCAAAATCAAGAAAAGACTTCCATGAAAGAGAAAAAATGAGAATAGGTTGTAGGCAGTAAATGCTAAAAATATTCATCAAAGGATAATCTGTATCAAAACTGTCAAAGGCATATCAAGTGTAAAGGTATATTAAACTCAGTCAAACTCATTTGCTAACTGCTGTATTGACTTTGAAAGCAGCACAAAAATTCAAAGAAAAATGTAAAATATATAGAAGGTAATGAAAAAAGTGTTCAGATTGCCTACAGTTCCTTGACATGTCACTGAAACTGTAATACATCCAGCACAGGGCTCAGTCTTGCTGGAGCATGGACAGGAAGTGGCAGGGACTGAACAGGAATCTATGGTCAAAACCCTGCTTCTCATATGCTAAGTGTCCATGACACTGGGGATCATACAAAACTTTTATACATCAAATAGAATATATTTTCTTTCCTGTCAAGTAATTTCTGTTAACTTCTTAACAAAAAGCAGGATTAAAAAAGTGAGGCAAGAAACATTCAGCACCAAAATTTTTGAGATTCAAAATTGTGATTAAGAAGTGATTTAGAGCTCCCAGGAAAATCAAACTGCAGCAAATATGCTTCCTTGACTGGAAAATGGAAGAAATTAAGATGTGATTAAACATGATTTTTGTGCCTCTTCTATCTTGGTCTATCAGCTTCGCTTCTCTCTAATGTAAGTCCTGGGTTGTGCAGTATCATCTTTCAGTTATTTTAATGTCTCTCCAGATTGAAACAATATATGTTTACATTTACTGGAACAAACCCTTCTGGAAAGATGGCTCAAATTATGTCAACAAGTGTGACCGAGTCAAAAAATCATTTATGAGGCCAATATTCTCAGGTTCGTGGCTGACAGATCCAATACCCAGATGTGGGAGTGACAGACCATGCAACATTCAACTAGGAACTGATTGGTCTGCAAGCAATCCTACATTTTTTCAGGTGCTCAGAACACTGCCTTGTCTTCTGGAAAGGCTAAAGCAATACCGCTTCATGAATATTTTGCTTTTAATGGCTCACTGAAGAGGGTCTCAAAGGTGGACTGTCATTTCTCTCTTCTCTGCCCAAGCTTGATGGAAAAATCAGAATGGGGGAGGAGCATCAGTCTTTCTAGCTTCTTCTCGCTTAACTCACAATGAAAGAAACACTGTTCTGGGATAACCGACGAACCATGCTGGCTGTTTTGCTTGTTCTTTTTTTACCTGGTGAGAAACAACAGATCCATCCGCAGCATGGCTCTCATCCAGGCCCTTTTTGGCCATCATCTATACTTCTTCTCCTCCCTTTCTCTTTTTCTCTCTCACTCATGCAGGTCATGTGGTCGGAAAACTCATCACACAGTGGCCAGGAGAAACCATTAAGAGAGTTGGAGAGAGTGTGGACATCTTCTGCTACCAGAATTATACCACACTTGCCTATATGTTCTGGTACCAACAGCCTCCAGGAAATGGTCTGAAGTTAGTAGCCAGTAGTTCTACATGGATGCAGAAGTCTTATGAGGAAGGTTACAGTGAAGCCAAGTTTGAGATAAGCAGAGACAATGATTACTCTGGGATGATGATCAAGAACGTGACATCCAAGGATGCAGCCATGTATTTCTGCGCTGTGAGTGATCACACCGTACAGCGACAGGGCTGAGCACTAAGACAAAATCCCCACCTTGCCTGAGTGAGAGATGGAGTCTGAAAAATGTGAGTGAGACAGATTGGAGACGGGCAAAGGAAGAGCAGAAGAAAGACAAGGAAGAAGTGGGCTATAGAGCCAGGACTTTTTGGAGGGAAGAGAGACATACAAAGAAGTGCAGCAGCATCTAGCTTCAAACACAAAACGCATTCAGAAATACAAATCCAATAAGAATTGAGGCAGTGCTGATGTCATTAGTGAAAGGCAGGAGATACTTCTTAGGACTGGTACTACAGAAGCACAGCTATGTTCTGGGGCCACTAGTTCCCTATACGGTCCCCAACATAGCACCAAGAAAAGACTAAAAAGCAGAAGAATTCAAGGTTCTTCCACGTACTGATAACCACCCAAAGACAGGGGTCCCCAATGAGAAGCTGATTGTTGTGGCAAGAGAGTGCAGCCGCTCATTATGGACACAAGAGGATGGCACCAGAGATGGGAGAAAACATACCCAGGGAAACAGGCATACATTCCATTGTGGAAGGGACAGCCCTGTGGCAGTTTTACAAGCAACAGTGTGCCCTGCAGCACTTTACCTGCTCCACACACCACTTAATTGCAGGATCTCTCTCTTCCTCACCACAGTAATGCATACAGTTCTGAGCTGTACAAAAACATTTCTTCATGGCAAACCCTCACGTGCAGAGAAAGGAAACCACAAAAAGCTGCCGTTACCAAGTGCTCCCCTTGTGAGGGACAACTGAAGGCAGAAATTGCCTCATATCTGTCTTTGTTGCTTGCAGAGATGAGCTTTTGATTAATTAATTGCTTTTCCATGGTGAACCTGTGAAAAGTGAGGGCAGGTATTATTTGGGTTCCCCCACCTGCGATTGCCTGTCTGTGCTTCTGTTTTTATCGCATAACCTAGGACATACTTTTTCTTCTAAGAAAGGGAAACAGCACATATAAGAGCAAAAGGTATCTTTAACAAAGTATGACTATACACCTGTATATTTTGGGTTTCTGTTTTTAGGTCATGTCTTTGACACTCTGCATATCATTAAGCACAGCTCAACTGTTTGGCTCATATGCTCATATGGAAGATATAGCATATGTAGCACATAACTATCACAAGAAGCAAACATATTACGCTGGTCACTGATCAGTGGCAAAACTGGATATGCTGAAGTGAAATGTACTATTTGATTTCAGAAAAAAAAAAGGAGCGGAGGACATGAGAATAGCTGGTGAGAGCAAGGAGCAGCAATCATCTGGTAGCATGACGTGTAAAAGATGTTCACACTCCATTTCACCAAAATTGCTAGTAGACGTTTACTCCCAGGATGGATCACTCAATTTCAATGCCAGGGTCCTAGTCTCCTGACTGACCATGCTACAGAAATATTCCTTTGATTCCAGGCTCTGGTCTAAAAGAAGCTAAATTGTTCTTGGCTAGGGAAATCAGACACAAGACAGAAACTCATGTTCATTGTAGTCTCACTGTGGACACAGTGGAGGCTCTGAAGAGGCTAAATCTAGTTGCATCCCAGATTCACTCCAGTCCTCCAAAGAAATTTCTGAAAGACTCAGCTTCACACCCCACCCCATGCACACCCTGGTAGCCCATATTCTTCTGACTCCAGGAGCTGCTCAGCAACAAGTCTAACACACCTTCCCTTGCCCTCAGGGAACACTCATCTGCTCATCAGAACACTCTCAGGCCCATGATTTTACTCACTGTTCATATCAGGCTATAGCCATAGAATAGGGAAGCACTGGGAAAGCATTGTCTCACCTAGCAGAGACACACTGAGTTTCTTATTCTATTCAGCCTCTGAGCTTCTTTATATAGAGATATCTTTACACGGGTACCAAACATACTCACTCTGATGTTGTCTGGAGTTATTATTGGTGATCAGAATGCCCTGTGAAAGCTTTAAGAAAAGTAGTTTATGCTGAAATTATTAAGGAATATAAACACCATGGTTGTAACTTTGGGAGTGAATTTTGGGTGATTTTTTAAAAATTAATCTTTTAATAAATTAGCAGTTCCTGAAAAACATGATATACAGTCCTAGATCAGACCTCTTGCGTAAACACTGAAAACCAGATTTATCAAGACCCGGGAACCTAACAGAAGAAGGATCCCTTTCTATTTCTCAAGTCTGGAGCATTTTTAGTTTAGAGTGACAGGTCCAATTTTAGGGCACTGTGAAACTTTATCAGTAGCCTTCCAGATTCAGTACATTAGTGAGCTGGCTATTGATTGGTCACAGCTGTGTAATTTTCAGGTGATAGTAGAAAACCCACAGAGATCTCTAGTGGTCATTGCCACAGTTCCGCAGTCACAGTTCCCTATTCCAGCTCTGAGGTACAATTTTCTCCTGTGTAGTACTTATTTTGCTAGCTTGAAGTGGTACTGCACAAAAAGTAGTTATTCTAAGGAATAGCTTATGAAACAGCTACTCTCCTTTTCACAGTCTCTGTCCTCATATTTATTCCCCTTTGTCTCCTGCTGTAGAAGGTTGCAGGGGAGCTGTACCTACGGAAACCATAGTCAAAGGTACTTGTTTTAGATGCTCAGCAGCAACATCTCAGGCATCTCTGTGTATACTGTTGTATATTAGTAATGAATTGCTCAATATTGACAATATATGTCAGTAATAGCCTACCTGCAGTCTAGAGGTTATACTGGCTACTCAAAAGATAAGATGATGGAAGGAGAGGATCTGTAAAGTCGTACCTCTGTGCAGATAATGATGTTACACCATGTGATGCAACTGTGTAATGATGCTATCCCATGTGACCATCCTGCAACTACTGGTAGGGTTTCGCAGAATCATAGAATGACAGAATCACAGAATGATTGACATTGGAAGAAGCCTGTCATGGTCATCTTGTCCAAATCCCCTGCTCAAGCAGGCCACCTAGAGCCAGTGGCTGTGTCTAGCTAAGCATGGAGACTCCACAACCTCCCTAGAAAACCTATTCCGGTGCTTAGCCACCCCCACAGTGAAAAAGTGTTTCCTTTTTCAGAAGAAACCTCCTGCATTTCAGTTTGTGCCCATTGCCTCTGGGCCTGTCACTGGGCACCACAGAAAAGAGCCTGCCTCCATTTTCTTTGCATCCTCCCTTCAGGTACTTATGTACATTAATCAAATCCCTTCTGAGCCTTCTGTCTCTAGGATAAACATTTCCAGCTTTCTCAGTCTCTCCTCCTATGTCAGGTGCTGCAGTCCCCTAATCATCTTTGTGGCTATTATTTGCTGGACTCCCTCCAGTATATCCATGTTTCTCTTGTACTGAGGATCCCAGAATTGGACCAGGGTACTCCAGGTGTGGCCACACCAGTGCTGAATAAAGGGGAAGGATCACCTCCCTCGACCTCGTGGCAATACTTTGTCTAATGCAGCCCAGGATACCATTAGCCTTCTTTGCAGCAAGGGCACACTGCTCATTCATGTTCAGCGTCCTCTTTACCAGGAGCCCCATGTCCTTTTATGTTAAGCTGCTTTCCAGCTGGGTCACCCCCAGCATATATTGCTTCATGGGATTATTCCTTCCCAGGTGTGGGACTTTCCCCTGCTGAATCTTGTTGAACGAAGGTACTCCATCCTCGGTGCAGGACTTTGCATTTGCTTTTGATGAAGTTTATGAGGTTTCTGTCAGCCCATTTCTTCAGCCTGTCAAAGTCCCTCTAGATAGCAGCATAACCCTGTGGTGTACCAGCCACTCCTTGTAGTTTGGTGTTGTCTGCAAAGTTGCTGAGGGTATGCTCTGCCCCATGATCCAGCTTATTAATGAAGACAGAGAAGACGTTTCCTACCACAGTTGCTGTTTCTCAGCCTTCTTGAGAGACAAAAACTGACTCAAAACAGAAATAACAGAAATTATAACCTTATGTTAATTACCAAATACAGGTATTGGGTTGGAAGCAGAAGATGAACATTCAGGAAAAAATATTCACAGAAATCACAGAAATCACAGAAACACTAGGTTGGAAAGGACCTTCAAGATCATCAAGTCCAACCATTAATCCAGCACCACCATGTCCCCTAGACCATGTCCTGAAGCGCCACTTTTGTACACTATTGTACTTTAGCGGAACAGCTTAGGTCCAAATCAATGGCCTCTAAAAAAGAAGCTTGGATAGACACAGGCTGGAAGAGAAAGGAAGAAGAAATATGCATACATAGGATGGTATAGCATCACTATCTGCATAGAGATGTGTATTGGGTGTGGCTGGGATGGAGTTAACTTTCCCATAGCATCCGTCATAGCACTGTGATTTTTATTTGTATCTAGAAAGGTGTTAATAACACATTAGTGTTCTGGCTGCTGCTGAGAAGTGCTTGCACATCATCAAGGCTGTCTCTCCAAAGTGGCCCCCGCTCCAAAGGCCAGTAGGCTGAGCATGGGCAAGAGATTGAGAGGGGACAAGAACAGCTGACCCAATCTGACCAAATGGATATTCCATACCATATGATGTCGTGGTGAGCAATAAAAAGCTGAGAGAAAGAAGGGGGAGAGGAGCCATTCATTTTTAAGACGTTTGTCTTCCAGAGCAGCTGCTACATATACTTTGGTCCTACTTCCCAGGATGTGGCTGAACATTGCCTGCTGATGGAAAGTAGAGAATAAATCTTTTTGTTTTGCTTTGTTTCTGCATGTGTCCTTTGCTTTTTCTTTATTAAACTACCTTTATCTTGACCCACAAGTTCTTTTTCATCTTATTTTCACCGCCGCCTCATCCTGCGGAGGAGGGGGAGTGACAGATGAGCTTCATGGGCACGACAGCCAGCCAAGGTCAACCCACCAATGGATGTGATTTTACCCATCCTCTCTTTCCATCATATTATCTTTTCAGTACACAGCTATGCAAAACTACTGTATGTTTATGAAAAGAACTTTCTAGTGTCTCTAAAACAAATCTATAATGTTCAGCTACTCCTGCATTTCTGCCTGCTACTTTGTAGCTGTTTCTTCTGTAAACTCTAAAGAAAAATCCAGGACTGACGTAAGTCAGCCTAGATCATTACTTTCATGAGCAATTTCCCCACTAAAATTATACCATTGTTAGAAAATATGGTCCTAAATGTCTCAGTTGCATATTCTCACCTTTCCTTGCTGTCTGAAGTTTTACACAGCTTGGCCCACGAAGCCTCCTGTGAGAGACATAGAAATAAAAAAATTAAGGAACTGTTTGTCTTCTCTCCCTCTCACTCATTTGAATTAATGGCCTACAAAGTCTTTCCTTTTGACAGGTTATAGATGAACATGAAAGTGGGACAAGACTGGTCTCTGCTGGCCTGTCTTGGAAATTGCCTTATGAACATGGAGAAGGAGACACAATAATCTTAAATGAGGTTTAGTAGAATGGTTTTAGACCCTGAATAAACAGTGCTGATATCAGAGGCAGACTAAGATCAAGGCAGGCAAACAATATCCCACAATTAGTGTTCTTATTTAGGCAGAGCCAGACAAATAAAATCCTAAATGTATTTTTAAAAGAATTCAATATAAAAAAAGACAAATGTCTGCAGTCGTTCCCATAGTTAGTGACTTAAGCACACAGTTTTGCTATTGTAGAAGAGAGGATAATGTAGGGGCACCCGAGATCACCTGCCCAATATCTTGCCTGCTATAGTCCTATGTCTTGGGCCTAAATGTTTCGGCTTAGTCTATGTTTCTCATTCCCAGCTGAACAGGCTGCATTATAAATTATGGGTTCTTCTGTGATATCTGAAAACAAGAGAAAATAGTTTATTTTCTAGTAGAATTATCTTGTTTCAAAGGATTGTGTACTTTTTATATCAAGACATACTGAAGTGAAACCATTAAAGAGCAATATCAACAACATGCTTACTGCAGATACTTGGTCATATTGCTGACTGTGTGTTGACCTTTTACGTGAGAAGACTAGGCCATGATGGGCTGCGTATGCCCCAAACCTAAACTGGTTTGTTCATGTGCCTATCTTTCCCTCTGTTGCTTCAATTTGTGCTGGTACACTTAGTCTCACAGGCACAGATGTTCCCTTCTTGGGAGTTACATCATACCTGTACAAACCTATGGGAGGAAAAAATATAGTTGGTATCTCCACTTCATTATGTGTAAGGAAGTGAGATAAAAGAATCCTGTTACCTGTCACTGCTAGTCCCCACCACCTTCACACGGTCTCCAAAATTAAGGCACACTCTTAGTCCTAGATGAAGCTTTTTCATAGTCAGGGTCAAAGGCACCTGGGATATGTTTGTACTTCTGCTACTTGTAGTCAGAGGGCAGTCAGAGAAATACAAACTTAAGATCTCAGCATCCTACTTCCCTCCCTTTCAGAGCAATGGGGACAAATGCAACACAGATCAAAGAGGATATTCACAATGCAAATTGCTCTCAATGCAAACCAGTTACTGTGGGCTTGAGGTCTGTTTATCATCCTGAGGCAGAAGAAGAGTGGCAAGGAAAGCAGCATGAACACTGTAATGAAATCAGCAAGTCAAAAATAACTGCATTTAAAAGCAGCTAAAAAAGAAAAAAAATATTTTTTTTTGTCTTTAGGAAAAAAATTTCAGGGGTATAAATTCATGGATAATGGATACACTAAGAGGTAATCAGACTATCACACAGAAACAGCAATAACAGAGGAAGGATGTGGTCTGTGGTTCCCATGGCAATCTTTCATGGTGATTGGGTGACTAAAGAGGGAGGGTGGAGCCATGGGTGGGATTGTTTTTGTACGATGTTGTGTCATTGTGGGAACAGGGGATCCACAATGATACATTCCCCATGAGGCCTTTACAAAAACCCATATGTGCATAAGCTTTATGGGGGAGTGTGTTAAGACAGCTACAGAGAATTCTGCAGAACAGCGGGCATGTTCTATCTTTGTTTTTCTTGACAGACCTAGTATGCTAGGACTTATTTTCATCGTCTGAGAACCAAGCCTGCCCTCTCTGGAAAATGAGCCAGGAGACTTTGAGACATTGAAATAGTTTTCAGCAAACCCGACTGACTTGCAGTTACATCTAAAAACTCAGATAGGTGAAGTATGTGAAACAGAGAACTAGTATTATTTTCTGATCCAATGGTGTTCGCAATAGACCACAAAATGGTTCTTTATTAATATGATAAAAGTGTTAGAAAGAGCAGTTATCTCTCAGAGTGGGGGGGGGGGGTCTCTCTTAAATAAGCCTCCAGTGTCCACTGACTGATTCATGCCTGTGAGCAAAAAAGTTTTTCTCTAATCCTTCACACTGTTTCACTGCAGTTCTTTCCAATGGATACCATGGGTTTGCCTGAGGCCAGCCAACTGATTCTTCTGGATTCTCCTTGTGTGGATTACTTTTAACCTGTTAGAAAATTCAATGGGATCGACTACTCAAGATGGCAGGCCTGCCATTGAAGGGAAAATAAATGGATTTGTTCAGTGCCACAAAGGCAAACCACCTATTTGAAGAGGCATGTGACTATGACAATCACAAAGCAACTATTATTTGATTATATCTCCACAAGTTACAGAAAGGAAGGCCTCACAATGCTTAGAGTACAAGACTGACAGTAAGGAAGCTCTAGTTGTAAAGGAATTCTCTTTCTAGGCAATTACAGCCTCTACTACTTTGACTACGCCTGTATGCTTTCTACCTCTGCAAAAGGAGAATAGCAGGTAATATTGATGAGATAATGGAGATTAGAGAAAGGTTGTAAAACAACTTGGGGTGTAATGTAGAAAACAAAAATAAGTATCAAAAGCTTTTATAAATGCTACAGATTACACAATGGGATTTCAAGCTGTTTTTCTGCCAAACCCTTCAGACAGAGATTGAGGGATTTACGGGATTCCAGATACAGTAGACATTGCTTAAGCTTTTGCTTACTTAAGTCAACTGCAGTGCATCCCTTTTGTTACTTTATGATACAACATTTTGTCACTGTGACCACTAATAACCTGATTTTTGGCACTGGCACAAAACTTACAGTTATCGGTAAGAAATTTTTGTTTTCTCTTTTAAATCGCTTCATATCCCAGATCTTCTCTTTACATAACTTCACTTCAACCTTAATCTCACTTACGTTGTTAAACTGGTGTTTTTGTGATGTTCTAGTAACCCAGTCTACTTTGGAGAATAGACTAAGTTTAGTAACCTAGGTAGGGACACACATTTCACTTTGGAGAACTGAATGAATGCATTTTCAGTGAATAAAAATCTGTCGATAGGAAGAACTAGGATGAGGAATGGGTTAAAAAATATGTGCATATCATACTTATATTGTCTTAATAAATAGCAAAATATCATAGCAAAAATCACTATTCCCCATAAGTATAACTATTCTTTATAATGTTCTTCCTGTGGCTACAGGTAATTAAGGACAAGTCAATGAAAGGCTATCTGTCTGGAAAGATCTGAGTTACAGTTACAATTTGGACAGGTCTATAAAACAAAATCAAGACTCTACAAACTTAAATTACGTTGGATCTTTTCAGGGTAAACTAAAGCATGTGTTATCTCAGATAACTGGGAAAGACAAACAAGTGTATTAGCATTTTTAATTAACAAAACTCTGTTTTGTTACTTGTTACTTTTGTTACTTGTTTTAGCCACAAACACACACTCAACTTTATCAACTGACTCTCTGCAGCTATTTAATTCCTTGTTGTTACAGAAAACTACTCTCCACAGCACAGCAAGTTTCTTTCCTCAAAACAGGCTCGTCAGGATGGTGATAAAAAAATAATTTACTACAACACACTTACTATTTCAGAATAGATGGTAAAAGGCTACTGAAAACTACAGAAACAGAATATTTGGTTCATTTCAAATAAAAGTAACTCTCAGGGAATTTTTCTTCCTGGGCCACAGCAGAAAACAAGGCTGCTTCTAATAGTCTAAGTGGTGATTGATCTCTTCTCATTGTATTGTTCCTGGAGTCAGAAGCGATGCCTCGGGGTTTTATACCACACTGTTCTACTGCAGAGTAAAATGATTACAAGTGACAAAATTCAATCTTCACAAGAAAAATTCAGTGATCATCAGTTTTTTGAAATCCAGTGTGAATCTGAGGTGCCTGAGGTGATGAAAATCAATACACTGATGCCTCATTGACCATAGTCAATTATGCAGCTAACTTTAATAATCATAGCTAAGAGAACTGAGAGAATAGAAGCAGAGACTTCCTTCCAGGGAAGGAGAAATGAAGGGCATAGTGGACTAGGGTCCTCTGTTATGTATTACAAGTTATTTTGTAAGTCAAAAATTACTTTTATTTTACAAGAGAAGAATATTGATGATATTGAAAGGAAATGAGGAAATTAAGGAAATGAGGCTGTTTAGTTGAAAATAAGCAAAGAAAATTACTCTGTCTGCATAAGGGAAATATTTTCAAATAGTACTCCTAGGTAAATAGATGAATATCCTTTAAAGACATGGGTGAAAGTTGCAGCAACTGATTCATCCAAGCCTGAGGCAAAAGGCTCTGGACAAGGTATTTCTGAGATTTATCTCACCTGCTTAGACACACAGGTGTTTGTGGTGTTCCATTACAGCCCTTTCTTTTTTTTAGGGGACTGTAAATTAATGTGCTTTATGTTTCTTCTTTTGCTGGAACTGCATGAAGGGAGGGTTAGTCCACAGATTTGGCTTAGAGGACTGAGAGTACAGGAGAGGTTTTCCTGCAGCTGTAAAAGAGTGTGAATAATGAAAGACTGTACTTTGGCAGTGGGACAAAACTCACAGTCCTAGGTAAGAGAAGTCAGATGTCTGTGATATATGGGATACTGGTTTAGAGGATAAGAACAGTATTAATTAACAGCTGAATAACAATAATTTTTCACACAGCCATGAGGACAAGATTAATGCTTTATTGGTTGCTTATTAAAGTGAGATGTGCTAATATTGAAGTGTATGATTTACAAGCACAGATTTTGATAGCCTTTTGTCCGTTGTCTTCCCTTACTGGGAAATTCATGAAGAGAGAAAGAAGGAAAGCATTATGTTTTGTTCCATTCTCCAAGAAAATATTAAAGTGGTTGGGAATGAACTATCCTTCTGTCTGCAAATTTTTGCAGTTCATCTATGCAACAATCAAAAACAACATTTCAGAGGTAGAGTCTGGTTTCTTGTGTCTGCTGA